GGGTCCACGCTAGAGCGTTTTCCTCGCTCGAGCGGACATGATGAAAAAGAGGGTTCACTCGAGCGTGACTTCCTTCGCTTGAGCGTACTATAAACTTTGAAAAAGTACTGGTTGCTTGATTTTCACGCTCGATGGACGCTCGATCCCCGCTTGAGCGTGAGACTCAAACCCTCGCTCGAGCGTGGATTCTGTCGCTCGAGCGTGCTGCAAAACATATGAGCTTCTAGGTACATGCATTTCACGCTTGAGCAGGAATTAGGTCGCTTGAGCGGAAGTGCATGTATTCAGAGTGCTCGCTCGAGCGTGAACTCCTACGCTCGAGCATGGATCCAAATTCTGGAATTTCCAGATTTGATCTCCAAGTTTCAAACTCAAACCAAAAAACTTCAAAACTCAACATTTGGGTTTAAAACTCAACATTTGGGCCAAAAACTTGCAGAAATACATGAAAACTCTTAAAACAACAAGAAAGAATGTTTATTCCAAGGAATCATGGCTCAAAAGCTTGTCAATTGTGCAAAATTCAACTTAAAATTCATGAATGATTCTTGAACAAGACATGCATGCTTTCCTTTGAACTCAATCTTTCCAAAACATGATCAAATGAAATATTCAACTCAAAAACATGGTGGATTCTTAGATTACAACCAAGATATGAGCGTGCATGTGAGATTTTCATGAAAGGAACCTCAAAACTTCATGATATGGACATGCATGCATAGAAAGAATCACAATACCCAAGTTCTAACTCAAATCTTGTATAAATCAACATAATTCTCTTGAGTTCATGCATTATAGTCTAGACTTCAACGTTTAAGGATAAAATTCTTACCTACAGGCTTGAGTTCATAAGTGATGAAGTTGTAACTTCTTAAATTCTCTTCAATTCCTCTAATTCTTGCTAGCTTGGCTTCAAATTGACTCCAATCCCCCTTCTCTCACTCTCTCACGTTTTTTGTGTGTGCATAGGCTCAAGAGTGTGTTGATTGAAGGAAACAAAAAATGAGTGCAGGCTATAGGTGCCTTATATAGGCTTGTCCATTGATAGATAATTAAGGCTAATCACATGGGCATCAAATTAATCTGTTTAAATCGTTCTAAATCAAATTTCAATTGGACCTACCATAAGTTTCTAAAAATTCTAATTAACACATAAATGAAGTCAATTTCTAAATCGGATGCCGATAAGGCCTTCAATTTGCAAACTGAAACGAAAACAAAAATAGATCTTGCTACGCTAAACATATATAAACACAAAATGATGCAATGCACATATCATTAACTCAGGCTTTCTTCTTAATTACTTATTAGGCACACTTAAGCATGAATTAACGTTAACTATGGGTCGGGGTTGTTACACCAGCTGGCCAACAAGTGGTAGACAGGCCAATTTTTATTTGCCGGTTGCCCTTCTCCATGGCCGACCGACCATGTTCAGCGGCAGGCAGATATTTTGCAGCCAGTTGTTCCCCCTATTTGCATGCTTTGCACCAGTTGGCTCAAAACTAATATTTCTGATAGGGAAACCTGTTTTTCTATAAATAGATGACCACCCCTCATGGTTTGGGGTTAGAAAATTTTGCCAAGAACCAAAGACTTGCCAAACACTCTTCCTCTCTCTCTCGCTCTCTCTGTCTCTCTCTCTCTTGCAATGTACATACACTATACATACACTTCCTAAACCAAAAATTTGAGGCTTTTTGCTGAGATTATTGAACTAAAATTTCATCATTTGAGAGGATTCAACTTGTGGTTTCTGAGCAAAAGAGTATCCTCTCTTCAAGAGGTATAACCTTTGCCATCTTTTGCTTTGTTTACACTAATCTTTTCCTTCTCTTTTTTTTTTTTGTTGTTTATACACTATTTTGGACTGATTTTAAGTACTGGAACTTGTAATTAAAAAGTTACCTAAGGTAGAGGGGTTAACCATCATTTCTTGAACATTATCCCATACCTTATATCCTTGTTTTTCCACTTGTTTCTTTGCTTTTAGCTACTATTTTTCAGAGTTTTTAGAGGCTAAAATATGTGATTTAAAGGTCCAAAAATATTTAGATGGTGACTCTGTATCTGGCAAAGCAGTCCATGTGTGGCACTTCTTTCAAAAAATCTGTTTTCAAAAACGATTTGCCGATTTTGGACTCTTTGATGATTTCATCGGTCTTGCGTTGCACTCTGCGAGATTAGATACAGGACCGTGACATTGAGTCCTGAACTGTAGTGAGCCCAATGAACAACACGGGAGGGGATTCCCTCCCGGGACGTTCGGGGACGTCTACATTAGTAGTACTTTTCTTCATTCCTGACCACCAGATGTTTTGTTTCAAGTCATGGTACATCTTGGTATTCCCAGGATGCATAGCAAATTTTGAGTTGTGAGCCTCGGTCATCACACGTTTCCTCAAGTCAGAATGATCCAGTACACAAAGTCTACCATGAAATTTTAACACATTGTTCTCCAACACAAATCTGGGTCGTGGTTTTGAGTCAATTTCATCCACAATCTTTTTCAAAAATTCATCTTACAACTAGTTCTCTCTGGTTTCTTCAAAGAGTGCCGGTTGGGCAAAAATAGCGGCTAGAATTCTGCCATGTTCACGCATCACAATCTCAATCTCATTCTTCTCTAGGTCACATAGCAATTCTCTCTGACTAGTGAGCAAACATGATAAATTCCTAATTGACTTCCGATTTAAAGCATTTGCAACGGTATTTGCCTTCCCTGGAGATACAGAATCTGTAAATCATAATCTTTAATCAACTCGAGCCATCTCCTCTGTCTCATGTTCAATTCTCTTTGAGTGAAGAAATATTTGAGGCTTTTATGGTTAGTATATACTTCACAAGTCACACCATACAGATAATGTCGCCAAATTTTCAAAGCAAAGACGCCAGTTGCCAATTCAAGGTTATGAGTTGGGTAATTCTTTTCATGGGGACAAAGTTGCCGAGAGGCATAAGCAATTACCTTCCCATTTTGCATTAGTACACAATCCAACCCTTTATACGACGCGTCACTGTAAATCTGGAACCCATCAATACCATTTGGTAGAGTTAAGATTGGTGCAGTCACTAATCTAGTTTTCAATTCTTGGAAAGCTGTTTCACGTTGATCGTCCCAATCAAATGACACATTATTCTGTGTCAACTACGTCAATGGCGTTGCAATTTTCGAGAAATCTTTCACAAATCTTCTGTAACAACCAGCAAGACCCAGGAAACTTCTAACTTCTGTCACATTGGTTGGTCTTGGCTAGCCGACAATAGCTTCAATTTTCTGTGGGTCTACTGATACAGCATTCTTGTTAATCACATACCCCAGAAATGTTACACTGTCAAGCCAGAATTCACATTTGGATAACTTTGCATATAGCTTATTTTCTCGTAGAGTCTACAACACGGTTCTCAAATGATTCTCATGATCTTCCCTGCCTTTAGAGTAAATCAAGATATCATCAATAAATACCATAACAAATTCATCCAGATATGGCTTAAACACTATATTCATAAGGCAACAGGTTCATTAGTCACTCCAAACGGCATTACCAAAAATTCATAGTGACCGTATCTAGTTCTGAATGTAGTTTTCTCTATATCCTCTACCTTAACCTTTAATTGGTGATACCCGGATCTAAGGTCAATATTGGAAAACACTTGGGCTCCTTGAAGTTGATCAAACAGGTCATCAATTTAGGGTAGTAGGTACTTGTTCTTAACGGTTACTTTGTTCAATTCACGGTAGTCAATACATGGCCTCAAAGACCCGTCTTTCTTTTTAACAAGTAACACTGGAGCACCCCATGGTGTAGTGCTCGGGCGAATAAACTTCTTGTCTAATAGTTCTTGAAGTTGGACTTTTAACTTTTTCAGTTCAAATGTTGACATCCTGTATGGGGTTTTAGAAATAGGTTGTGTCCCAGCTACTATGTCAATTGTAAACTAAATTTCTCTATCAATTAAATCCCCAAGAAATTCATTAGGAAACACATCTGGAAAGTCACTAACCACAGGAATGGTTTCTACACTGGTATTATCTAAGGATTCAGTCAATGCACAACACAAGTAGCCTCGATACCCTTTTCTTAACAATTTCTTGGCTTTCATGAAGGAAATCAAGTATGGTGGAGGAACTACCCCATTCCCAATGAAAGTAAACTCAGGCATACCAGGGGGTTTAAACATGACGATTTTGTTCACACAATCAATAGTAGCACAATATTTGGTCAGCCAATCCATACCCAGAATACAATCAAAATGATCAATGTTCAAAGGTAGCAAGTCCACAGATAATGTCTCATCACCAATTATAACATCACATGCCGGACAAACATAAGCACATATCATAGAGCCCCCAGATAGTGTAGACACAGGTAGCATACATTTCACAGGTTCTGTCGGTTTAGTTAATTCTCGAGAAAAAGCATGCGAGACAAATGAATGCATAGAACCAGAATCAATCAGTACATAGGCATTCTGAGCACAGATAAGGATTATATCTTATACCACAGACTCAGTGTTCTGCACATCTCTGGGTATTATTGTGAACACTCACCCCTGCCTCAATGTTTCATTGTTAGTGTTACCTCTTGCATTGGTTCTTGCATTTGATCTTGCTACAGAAACAGACCCAGCTATACTTGCCACAGGACGGCTAACCTCATTGGATCTCATCGGGTAATCCCTAACCATGTGACCAGTGTTGCCACATTAAAAACATGCACCTGATGCACGGTAACATGCACCCTTGTGCTTCCTTCTGCAATCAGGGCAGTTTGGAGTAGATCCATTACTTTGACTAGAGCTACTGGAAGATCATGTATTTTGCTTCTTCGAAAATGATCGACTCTTCTTAAAATTGAATTCGGCCCTCTTTTCCTTCCAATCAGTTTACGGGACAAAAGTTTGTTTCTTTGTTGCCAAAATAGCCTCTGCCATTAATGTCCTATCCAATACATTTACATACATGGGCAGGTTAAGAACTCTCACCCGATCCAGTATATCTAAGTCCAGCCCACCCCACTCTCAAATTTGCAGGCCTTCTTGTAGTCCGTGTTCACCATATGAGGAGCAAACCTGGCTAACTCAATAAATTTAGCCTCGTACTCAGCTACGGACATTCTGCCTTGTTTGAGTTCCTGAAATTCTGAAACCTTCCGGTCTCGGAAGCACTGGGGGAAATACTTATCATAGAAAATCGTATTAAATTGAGCCCATGTCATGTTCGTATTGCCATTCTGAACTAGCAACCACCATCTCCAAGCTTCGTCATTTAGAGTGTAGGTAGCCAACAAGACTTTCTGAATCTCAGAACAGGGAAATACTTCAAACAGTTTCTCCATCTCCAATAACCATGTTTCAGCCTTTAACGGTTCAATTCCACCAAGAAAGGTTGGCGGTTTCATTTTCGTAAACTTTTGAGTCAAATTGATTAAGTCACCGTTGCCCGGTTCCACTAGTACCGGTGGAGGTGGAGGAGGTAAAGGTTGTTGTCTCTGTTGTTGCATTACTACCTCAGTTAGAGCTGTAAGCATTTGTTCCATTCTGTTCATCCGGGCCTCCGAGGACCCTGCTGTATCATCACTTCTTACATTGTCCATTTGCTATAGGTAAACAGAACATTATAAACATAGGCAAATAACCCTTGTTACTTTATTCAGATTGTTTGATCCCATATCACATTATCATAATTGGATTCATGCTATCTCGTTTAAACACACACACTTAGACAAGCAGATGGAATGCCCCTACTTCTTACTAGGACATCCTACGCTCATATGGACTTGTGTGTGTGGTAGAGCACGTGCTCTGATATTACTCTGTCACGACCCAAACCCGCCTCTATAGGTTTAGCATCGTAACCAGCCAGTAATCCTTGGATTACCAAAGGCCTCTGAACAGAATAATACATAAACAGGGGCTGCGGAAGCAAATATACAAAACAAACATAGTCCATTGAGCTGTGCAGACATACATGAGACAGAAAATTTTCCAAGCAAGCTTATATATATATATATATACAGATGTGACGTTGAAAATACATTAGTCTTACGTCACTCAAGCCACTTAGCAAAACTTCCAAACGTGTTCAAACCAGACATAAGCATTTAGAAGGTACAAAAGTCCCAAGGACACAAAACATGAGCGGATTTCAGAGGGAACCTCCACGGCAGGCATGATGGCTGGCTGACACCAAAACTTGCCAGGCAGCAACTTAGGCCTGGTCACGCACCTGCTCACCTACATACATACAATAAATAGTGAGCGAAAGCCTAGTGAATAATAACAAGGTAAAGAGTTTTAATGAATGATGTCTATCACAGAGTTAAAAACCAGAGCTCATATCGGAAACATATTCTTATCAGAAACTGAGTCTTATGCATATTCAGATTTCATATCAGAATTGGGTACAGGTACGTGTTCATATTCATATTCATATTTTGCATAAGACCATACATGGTACACCCATTAGTTGTCATATCAACTTGGTCTTGAGACCTACATGTATAGTCGGTACCGACGACCATAAAGGTCTATATCTAGTGCGCAAGTAGCTTGGGTATTGTTACCCCCAGACAAGCGCCACGTGAATATAGGCCTTGATATTGTTGCCCCCGGCAAGGGCCGCGTGCATATTGGCCACGGCATTGTTACCCCCGGGCGAGGGCCACGTGAACTAAGGATGCCACCAATGCATTTCAGAAAAATGGACATTCATTCATAATTCATAAAATAGCATTTCAGAAAACAGATCGTACCATATCAGTCAGAAAATATTCGTAATTAAACATAACTTTACAGAGTTATTACTCACTATTAACAGATGGTTCCAAGTAGATGAGTAGATGAGGCAATTCATTTAGCTTGTGGCGCGTGACCTACATAACATGACAGAGATATACATCGATACACATGCTCGAATCATTCATAACTCATTTCATTGTTCTTAGCGTGTTTCTAGCCTTTAACCCCCATTATGAAGTCTTAAACATGGCCTAGGAATGCCTATGATGGAATAGGGATGCAAAAATGCACCTGATAACATTTTTCAAAACTTGCTGAAAATAGGGTCCACGATCGAGCGGACATGCAGAAAAAGTGGGTTCGCTTGAGCGTGACTTCCTTTGCTTGAGCATATTGTCAACTTTGAAAAAGTACTGGTTGCTTCATTTTCACGCTTGACGGCCGCTCGATCCTCGCTCGAGCATGAGACTCAGACCCTCGCTCGAGCGTGGATTCTGTCGTTCGAGCGTGCTGCAAAACATATGAGCTTCTAGGTACATGCATTTCACGCTCAAGCTGGAATCAGGTCGCTCAAATGGAAGTGCATGTATTCAGAGTGCTTGTTCGAGTGTGAACTCCTACGCTCGAGCGTGGATCCAAATTCTTGAATTTCCAGATTTGATCTCCAAGCTTCAAACTCAAACCAAAACACTTCAAAACTCAACATTTAGGCCAAAAACTTGCAGAAATACATGAAAACTCTTAAAACAACAAGAAGGAAGGTTTATTCCAAGGAATCATGGCTCAAAAGCTTGTCAATTGTGCAAAATCCAACTTAAAATTCATGAATGATTTTGGAACAAGACATGCATGATTTCCCTTGAACTCAATCTTTCCAAAACATGATCAAATGAAATATTCAACTCAAAAACATGTTGGATTCTTAGATTACAACCAAGATATGAACATGCATGTGAGATTTTCATGAAAGGAACCTCAAAACTTCATGATATGGACATGCATGCATGGAAAGACTCACAATACCCAAGTTCTAACTCAAATCTTGTATAAATCAACGTAATTCTCTTGAGTTCTTGCATTATAGTCTAGACTTCAAGGTTTAAGGATAAAATTCTTACCTAGAGGCTTGCGTTCATAAGTGTTGAAGTTGTAACTTCTTAAATTCTCTTCAATTCCTCTAATTCTTGCTAGCTTGGCTTCAAATTGACTCCAATCCCCCTTCTCTCACTCTCTCACATTTTTTGTGTGTGTATAGGCTCAAGAGTGTGTTGATTGCAGGATAGAAAAGATGAGTGGAGGCTATAGGTGCCTTATATAGGCTTGTCCATTGATAGATAATTAAGGCTAATCACATAGGCATCAAATTAATCTGTTTAAATCGTTCTAAATCGAATTTCAATTGGACCTACCATAAGATTCTAAAAATTCTAATTAACACACAAATGAAGTCAATTTCTAAATCGGATGCCGATAAGGCCTTCAATTCGCAAATCGAAACGAAAACAAAAATAGATCTTTGTACGCTGAACACATATAAACACAAAATGATGCAATGCACATATCATTAACTCAAGATTTTTTCTTAATTACTTGTTAGACACACTTAAGCATGAATTAACGTTAACTATGGGTCGGGGTTGTTACACCAGCTGGCCAACAAGTGGTAGACAGGCCAATTTTTATTTGCCGGTTGCCCTTCTCCATGGCCGACCGACCATGTTCAGCGGCAGGCAGATATTTTGCAGCCAGTTGTTCCCCCTATTTGCATGCTTTGCACCAGTTGGCTCAAAACTAATATTTCTGATAGGGAAACCTGTTTTTCTATAAATAGATGACCACCCCTCATGGTTTGGGGTTAGAAAATTTTGCCAAGAACCAAAGACTTGCCAAACACTCTTCCTCTCTCTCTCGCTCTCTCTGTCTCTCTCTCTCTTGCAATGTACATACACTATACATACACTTCCTAAACCAAAAATTTGAGGCTTTTTGCTGAGATTATTGAACTAAAATTTCATCATTTGAGAGGATTCAACTTGTGGTTTCTGAGCAAAAGAGTATCCTCTCTTCAAGAGGTATAACCTTTGCCATCTTTTGCTTTGTTTACACTAATCTTTTCCTTCTCTTTTTTTTTTTTGTTGTTTATACACTATTTTGGACTGATTTTTAAGTGCTGAAACTTGTGATTAAAAAGCTGCCAAAGGCGAACGGGTTAACCACTCTTTCTTGAACCTTATCCCATAGCTCATATCCGTGTTTTTCCACTTGTTTCTTTACTTTTAGCTACTATTTTTCAGAGTTTTCAGAGGCTAAAATATGTGATTTAAAGGTCCAATAAGTGAAGGGGTTAGCCACCCTTCCTCAGGCTTGCTTCCTAGTTTTGTTCTCTTCTATTTTGGTCTATATTTTTCACTCTTTTCAAACTGATTTCAGCATTGTTTTGTGCTATTTAGGGACTGTTTAGTGTGTGTATTTAGCTTATGCTTTGAATACTATGTTTGTGTTGTTGTAAGTCCTCATAAATTTGGTTGTTTAGGCTATAGACACCAATCTATTTTAGTTGATAGCTTTCTTTACATCTAGCTGATAAAGCATTATTGGGTGGAGCGATTCAGTTTCGATGGATGTATCCAATTGAGAGATATTTTCTTACCTTGAAGCAATATGTGCGTAATAGAGCTCATCCAGAAGGTTCAATTGCTAAAGGATATCTTATGGAAGAATGCATGAATTTTTGTGCACAATATCTCAATGATGTGTAAACCAAATCTAGTCAACCCGTGAGGAACTACAGTGGTGATGATAATCTGGGTCGTGCTGTTGGTGAAAGCACAAGCTTTTATCTTGATAATACTTTTTGGGTGCAACCTCATTGGTATGTCTTATTCAATACAAGCGCGGTTCAACCATTCATAAAGTACGTTATGTCACCCGCTCAATATTTTATTACGTTTCATTGAATTTTGAACCAAAATTTTTTTATTGACAAATTTTCAATCTACACGGCAAACACCTTGAAGTACTTAAGGTCAAAATGCCTCGTGTTGACGATCATCAGTTTCGGCATGAACATTTTGAAACTTTTCACATTTGGTTCAAGGAACATGTATGTATTTAAATCTACAGATTCTATTTACCTAAGTTGAGCTACATTTTAAATTTTACAATTTTTTTTTTCTTAAATAGGTTCAAACTTTGCTAAGGACTAGTGATGTCACATTTTCTGAAGAGATTATTGTATTAGCAAATGGTCGTCATAACCTGGCAAGGAGGTTTAACGGGTATATAATGAATGGGTTTCGGTATCAAGTAAAGGCCATGGATGGCTGTCGAGCCATACAAAACTGTGGTGTAGCTTTGAAGGCAGATACCATAAGTTCTGCTAGTCAAAAAGACAAGAATCCTTGTGTGGGGTCTGTGTACTATTATGGACAATTGACAGATATTGTTGAGATTCGATATTCCAATGAGAATAAGCATGTGTTGTTTAAGTGTGATTGGATTGACAACATTCACAAGAAGATACAAGATGTCTTCAATTTCACGCTGGTTAACTTCAATCATTTGTTGTACCGAGATGATCGAATTACCAATGAACCTTTCATCGTGGCATTCCAAGCAGAGCAAGTTTGGTATGTTGCAGACTCGTTAGAACCAAACTGGCAAGTAGTGGTGAAGATGTCTCAAAGGGCTTTATTTGATATGAATTCGACTGATCCAGAAATCGAGCCATATATGAGCCAACAATTAGAAGAAAACATAATGCTTCGTGATGAAGAAGTTGGTTGGGTGAGGGAAGCTACAGAAGGAGAAACACTTGATGTGGAAATAAACTGATATTTAATAAACATCAGTAATT